CCAACAAAAGAAACTGTTTCTGTAATATCCATTTTAATGACATCCTCCAAAATCCTTCTTTTCCCAATGTTTGTTTATTTGCAACCGACTTCATTTTACTTCTCTTAAAATTGAAGGTTGCTAGGCGAAGCCGTTTGTGTTATAGATTCTCCTTGTATTAAGTATGTTTGTTTGACATGAACGTTCAGTTCTGTTCTCATTTGCCTACACTGACGATAGAAAATGTAGTAGCCCATCATCTTTAACGTAGTGGTTCTGAATCCACGTATAGTAAGCGGCCCGGAAATGCTTTTTGTATCCCTGTATGTGGAAAGAATATTTACCGTCTAAATTAAATATTTAATATTAAATAAATAATTAATAATAATAAATTATCAAATTTGGAAAATTATGAGATTAATAGACTTTGTAAATCTGAATGCGATAATATATCATAGTAGGCCAAGTGTCTTTTAATAAATTGTCTTTATGTCTAAATAAGTTGCCATTTAAAACCCGGTTACCCACGAGTCGTTAGGATAGGATGAATGTTGGTGACATTTCTGGTTCTCATGGCGGAGAATATTAAAGATGACTGTCTACCAGACTACACGGCGCAACATCCTATAAGAGAGTCGTTTTGAGGGTGAATGTTGTGCTATTTTTAAAAAGGTTGAGAGCCCCTGAACGATTGTGACAGGAGAGGCGTCAACTGGTTTTCAGGGTTTGTAGTCTCCAGCCTGACCGTAGAATGAAGATCAAGGTTCGTGAATGTGGCAGGCCTGTTATTTGCAATCCGAAAAATAAATGCGCCTGTTATTTTAAAATCCTGACAACGCCTTTCTCAAATGATACCGATTTCTTTCATTTGACGAGACAAAAATGACTAGAAAGTGTCAGTGCATTTATTGTCTTCAAGATGATGATCGAGGTAAGAATGAAATTGCCTTATCATTGTAACGGTCTGAGCAGGGGAATGTATCGGACGTGCCTGTCCATAGTAATTTTTCTTTTAATGGGAGGGTAGCACACCTGAAGGAAGTCTTCCTCTATTGAGGACAAAGTAACAATGGATGAAATGACCTCCGTAACCTAGCAACTAGCGCGCATTTCAATAAGGATCATTATTCCGTATTAGTCAGAAGCGCGGTAGACTTTATGACGAGAGTGGAAACAGGACACTTGAGTAGTCTTGGCTTTGGGGTGCTAACCCCGCCTTACCTTGATCCACCGCCCCATAGTTCTGATCACGAAGGTGCTATTAGTTTTTACTAGGGGACGAACCCCTGTGAGTTTCGGGATTGAAGTTGTGCATTGAACGTGGTTCCACGGCAGGTTTTGCACATTTGCGAAGCTTTCTTGCCTTCCCAGAATGACCGATGAGGGTGTTCTGCTGTCAGTCTTTGTACAGTGTTTCTGACAGGCTATGAATACGCAAAAGCAGTTGGGGGTTGAACAGTGAATAAGAAAGTAAGTTAGACGCGATCGTTTGTCTCTACAAACGGCATAGGCAGCTCAAGACAACTTCGTAGTCAGCCTACAGAATTTTCTATGATAAGTCAAATGGTTATCCATGCAAGAAATATTTTGTTCTTATGGAATCTGGAAGTTCAGTTTTAATGTCAATGTCCGACAGCGAACCTTCTTCTAAGCGAATTTAAACTTGTTCATATCTTCACAACCTATTTATCTAAGATTAATTTTAATGTTATTTGCTCATCTCCCCCCCCAGAGAAGTCCCTGACATGTCGTTTATATGAATACGCTTTTTCAAACTGCATTGGGCAAATACTGTTGATTCCATTCGGTATGTCAAGGGAATCGACGTGTTTTTACCTTTTAACTATCGTATTCCGTCCCATAAGTTATGAAGATACACTAATAAAGAAAAGCTAAATGAGGCCTGATGACGGAGGCAGTATGACCTCTGAAACGTTGGCAAACATCGACCAGACTACACAGCGCACCAACCCAGAAGACAGAAATCTTCATACTCATCGCCCTGATGATGGAGGCAGGATGGCCTCTGAAACGTTGGTAAACATCGACCAGACTACACAACGCAACAACCCAGAAGACAGAAATCTTCATACTCATCGCCCTGATGATGGAGGCAGGATGGCCTCTGAAACGTTGGTAAACATCGACCAGACTACACAACGCAACAACCCAGAAGACAGAAATCTTCATACTCATCGCCCTGATGATGGAGGCAGGATGGCCTCTGAAACGTTGGTAAACATCGACCAGACTACACAACGCAACAACCCAGAAGACAGAAATCTTCAGTTGTTCTTTGTAATAGTAAAGTGTGGTGTTTTCTCGGTACGGACTGAATTCCTATGTATTATTTAGAAAAGGTTAAAAGCGGACCACATGTAGTCACTGGACACAAACACACACACACGCACGCACGCACACACCACAATCACCATCGCCACCACAGTCTTTACAGCACTGACCATTACTATTCGTTCTATTGGCAGTCCCTGCATTTCTGAATACAGATAGCCCGACACGTGTTTTTTGTTCTAACGCCTCCACAGTTGTACCTGGCGATTGACTACAGACGTCTTTTGTTTGGACCCATCGGACTTGAGGTGGGGTATGGGATGGGATTACTGGCTTAAGCGTCAGGGGTTCTCTTCGAACAGGGTGTTCAGAAGCAGTATATTTTAATCAAATGATAATTTGCCTAAAGCGTAATGGTAATTGAACGTATCACATTCAGAAAATTTGCAGTTTGTTTGATTTTCAGAAGAAACAACGATTATTTTCTCAAACAGTCTAATACAATTGGCTTTGTTTATTTGAGATTCGTTGTTGTTTGTTCTTCCAAAGACAGGACGTAAACTTTTAAATATTATTTAGACGTCTTTACGCTTCAAAGGGGCAGCCATCTTTCGAGGTCCATTGGCGCTCGGTGTTTATCATTAACATGATTTCGTTAGACTATTCAATTGCTTGCTTAAACTTTTACGGAGTGTTCTGTTGGCGCATGAATGAAAAGCCGAGGACGACGGGTAGTAGTGACTAGAAATGCTTTCATTTTATTCGGAAAAACCTTAAAGAAAAAGGCCACTTGGGAGACGAGGCATACATGGGAGGTTAATTGGCTATCGGAAAGAATCGTATAGGATGTGAAATGTACTGACTTCATTCGTCTCGGTTGTTAGGAACCAGTGGCGGATTCTTGTGAACACGATAGTGAACGAAGATGGCTGTCTTCTGGGTTGTTACGCCGTGTAGTCTGGTAGACTTACGGACTCATACCACCGATTGTGGTAAACTTCTACTCACCGCCGTGAGAACCTCAGAACCAACTTATAACACTATTTCTTGCTTGCAGACCGATGAATGTCAGTAACTCTTTTATCGAGCTCCGAGTAAAAGGACGCTGGTTTATTTTCCTCCTCGTCTCTATACGCCTGCGTTATGTGCCCACATGTTGTATCTGTTCACTTGTAACGGTGAACAGATGAGCTGCTATTTGCGGTCTGTGCTGAATGAATTTTAATCTCATAAAATTCAGTTCTGAGAAACTCTTTGGAAATGTTTCCATATTGTGCGGGAACAGGTATGCGTGTGCGTGAGTAGATATGTCTGTGCGACTGGAAACTAACGGGAAATGCAATATGGAAGATAGCATCGTGTTTTCCTCTCTCGATTCAAAACGCTGTATCTCGAAATAAAAAACGGTATATAACAATAATCGCTCACACATTTTGCGCCAAGGAAAACTTACGTTCTGACCGGATTTGGAAGCAACCTTCCACATTACTAATTTCGTTTCTGTGCAATGAAATAACGAGAAGTTCGACTGTCTTTTCTTGAATTTGAAATACAACGTCAGAGGTTCCCCACAGTTGATAACGACTCTGCAGAATAATTTGTTTCTTACAAAATTTGTAAGCATGTTTATAACCTCTGCTACCATTAATTACATATGTACAGTGTAATAGCCAGAGAGATGATAGGCGACACAACGGCGTGGAAATTATATTTTATTTAAACCATGACACATTTTGTGGGACCAATCCATCTCAAGGCCTCTACATGCGAAATGTAACATAGAGAAATACATGGATATAAATCAATGCCCCGACCGTAGCTCGAATCATCTATCGTAGTGTTGATTGTTTCAAATGCTTTCCCGAAGTTTGTAGATAAACGTAATTTTTTAAAATCGCTAAATCACTATTTTAGTCATTTTATAGCTGGGGGGCTTCAAATCATATCAGGGAAGCGCTGAGTTAAAGTCTTCGAACCGCTGGACTGGTGGATGGTAGGGCCGCCACTTTCCTGTCCTGTTCTTCCTCCCCACAAGCCATAGCGCGCATCGGCAGCGCGATACTGTGCCGCTCTGTCTGTCAGTCTCTGCGCACGTTTCGTGACGGTCGGATGTGTAGCGACTGTGCTCCTTGACTTGTTTCGTTCAGTGCGACGTAGTGGCATTTGACTTGTTCATTCAAGTCTCTGAAGAAACATAATTGGGGCAGTTGTTTATGGTTGTTGTTCACAGTTGAAGTATTTAAACTGATGGACAATTCGTGTGTCTTTCTAGGATTTACAAAGAAATTGCAAGCACTGCGAAAAAATACGACTTCATGCAAATATTTTAAGGAGGAAGAAGATAACGACCCCCGGAGTTGTGTTCCATACATGCGAAGTCTAGTGAATATGCCATTGTGTTCAAATAATTTTAATAATGACATTTAAATCAGTGTGACATTGATTAGCATAAGACATTAAATACAACTGTCCTGCTGTTCGTCTCTTGTATAACACGGTGAAAGTGGTAATTTCGTATAGAAAGAGGACTCGAGTGAATTTACCTACTTTAATTTAAAGTAATTAACATTATTTTACCGCTAGTTACAACCGACTTATCGTTCTTGAATACACAAGTTTAAATAAAATTGTAATTCCTCTGTGACTGGATTGGATATTGGCGTCATTTTAACCGATGCTGTTATGTTACCACAGAAACGTTAACAAAAACTGTCGCTTGTGATTTCCAGTGCGTGGGTGTTTCATCTCGGTGTGAACTGGAGTCTGATACAAGTTTGAACTCTCTGCAAGTCTTCTTTGCTGTAGAGAACGCATTTTACGCGAAAGAAGTTCCATTTGCGTGCTAACGGTGAGAACAATGATGAGATACGGAACTGTCCCATCCTCCGTGACACTTGTCCTGCTAGTATTCATTCAGCTTCAGAACAGCGTATCCCATGCGGGCCCAGTCTCCTTCAGCAACGGCGGGTACGACGGTGTGGTCGTATCCATCGCCGATAATGTCCCGGCGTACGACTGCAAGAACATCCTCGAGAAATTAGAGGTAAGATTCGTTCCACGAAGTGTTATTTTATTTGTAGCAACAAAAGATTTGAAGATTTACTCATTTGACACATCGCAGAGTCTGGATGCCAGAATTATATTCTTTTCTGTAACGAAATACGGAACGGTGTCAGAAATATACATTTTAATTTTCAGCGAAGTGATGGCCATTTTCATACCCGCCGCTGCGAGAACCTGAAATATCCGGGGTTTTTTTGTCTAGGTTTTGATGTTTAGCGTTCCATTTAAAATTAAAGTAATAACATTACATGGTTTATGCCCATTCGAATCTCGCAGTTTATGGATTTATAGACTTTAAGTCCTGCTTCAGTCATTTATGTCGGCCAACAAATAAAAAAAAATCAGTTCAAAATTAAGATTACATTTACCTAGGTAAATGTATTGGAACTGATTCAAAACTTCGTTGTATTTTCTTTTCAGCATACTGAGTATTGCGTGACTTGGTCATCAGATCATTTGTATAAACTAGAGCAAAGCGCTCCTTTCGGAGCTCCTTTCGTCTATCAGTTTCTGTTGATTTTAATAGTTCGTTTTTCAGTGTTTTTTTTGCTGTTCTGTTAAATAGGTCTGATGTTTTAGTTCTTTACGTCGCAGTTCAGAGACCAACTGTTATTTGTCAGTCAACTTTCTACGTCCAGCCCCAGCCTTGCAAATCTTCGTCTTAAAATCGATCATAAAGTCAGTTTTCGTAATAGTTTTCGTAATAGGAGATGGAGTCCTACATTAAAAACTCTTTCATAGTAGAAACGGTTATGTAAATGACAGAGTTATTTAATCAGGTACAGATACCAAGCTTATTTTACTAGGACTAATTATACTCGTGGATGAGCACTGATTCCTCAGTCCTCCCTCAGGATCTTTATGGATGGTTCTGCTCTGGGTGGAATCCACCCCGAAAGTTTCTCTGAAATCCGAACTTTTTTAACTTGGAGCAATGAAGTATTTTGTGGGGTGGAAGTGTATTTGAGTAACGTTAATGCCCTTCATCCCCTTCGTTAATGTAGGAGGGAATAAAGAATACTGCTGCCTGGAGGGTGTAAAGGAACCTTAATCGTGAATGAAGCTTTGCCACCCTCGTTTGAATCCTATTCCACGGTGAGTGCGCGTTAATAATTGAAGGGTTTGGTGACTAAGGCAGAGGGATGCCTTCGGGGTGTCTAAATGATAGAATGGGGCAGTTTCTTTGTGTCGAACAAGATAGGGAAGAAATCCATCCTGGTCTTGACGGCCCTAAAGACTTCGTTACGAAATTAATTTCTCAACTGCAATTACGGTCTCAAATTTTTAATCTCTCCCCTTTTTCTGTCATTGTCAGGAAATAAATGGTCTCTCGAAAGGGCTGAGTATTTGAAATTAATAATTTAATATAAACTCGAAGCATCCCAAGGAATTAAAATAAAAGACCTCTTTAATATTACTTTCCTATATTTTTTATAAAAAATATTAAACTATTGACGTTAAAACATTTCCAAAGTCAAAGAAATTCTGTCAAAATCGAGAACGAATATTCGATATTTGTCAGTGGCACTTTGCCCCTCTGATACTGGTATAACGGTATGTCATGTTTGTGTAGAGTCTATCAGTATTTATTATAGCAGTTGGAATATTACGGCTTATCTTTACAACCGTGACGACATTTATTTAATTTCCTTGGTAAGACGGGATCTTACGCATTTCATAATAATTACGGGCTGTACTATGTGCGTTGCTATCAGGATTCCTGAAAGAAAAGGTTGGAAATACGAGTTAATACGAAAGTTCTTCGAATAGATAACAACTAGACACTTGTCCAGTTTATAAATCCCCAGCTTTCCCTTTGTTCAGTTTATATGAGTGCAGGGAGAACACAAGTTTGGGTTAACAAACAATTGGAATCAGAGCGATATATGCAAGCTGATAACTCACATGGACACGGTAAGTTGAATGAACGTTCACACTGCTTCTGTCGACGAGCGAGGTTGACTTTTTCAAAAATGTTTTGCTTCCCTCGCTAAGGACAGGCGTCTTGTCTCTTATCTGGGGGAGACAGATAACCGTTAAACACGAGGAAGTCAAAGTCATCGACCCTTAATGGTGAACAGTGCAGGCTAGTGGTTGTGTTATTACCTAGTATCAGTCTCTGAACCCATACATTGTAGTTGTCGCGTTGGTAACGAAATGTAAAATAGGCGTGCCAACATGAGGCAAAACACACTTGCCGAGTGACTAACGATCTGATCGGCTAACTTCGCCAGTTCTGTCGTAATAGAACAGGAAGGTTCAAAACTGAACGCGAAAAGTGAGATTCGGAAACAAAACGCCGATTCAATGGACAAGGGCACATCTTTTGAAATATTAATGTTCTTGCTTGTTGGTAATGACGTTTTGTTAAATACTGTTTATATTCTGTCCAATAAGAAATTGGAATATGATGAGCTGCCAAGGACAGTATATAAGAAGCAGCAGTCGTGGCCTGTTAAATCCTCAGTCATGATATTCCGCATCTCGCCCAAGGTTCGAACAGGATATCCCTCGGGTAGAAAACACAGGCGTAGCCAATAGATTACTCGGCGTTACAACCGAGAAGGTAACCTTCTAAGTACAACAAGCGACATCGCGACTTTAGGTAACTTTAGTTTTACCTGCATGTAGTTATTTATTGTGTGTGTGGTAACTCCGTCACCGGGTTCTACGGAGCTCCCAAGTAGACAAGCGACCACAGTGGAAGACACTTCCTCCTGCTTTCATATATAGTATAGCTTTTTGCAAAAGTTGTCGTAGGGGGAAGAAGTGTGTAAAGTGCTAAGGGAGGGGGGATGCATTTCAGACCAAAATAAGGTAACTCACTGGGGATAGGAGAAAGTTAGATGAGGAGGAATTTCATAAATTATGCTCTTCTCTCAGAATCCCTAACCCATTAAAGATGAAAGCCAAGCTTGCAGCTTGGGTTAGTAAAACAAATGCAGACAGTCTTTGATCGGTTAACCTTTTAGAACGCTATCATTTTGACAATATAGGCCAAGTTTTGCTAATAATGGGTTGAATCGCGCGAAAAAAGGGAACACGATCAGTTTTATAAGTATGATTCAAGCTTGTATTAAACTGACATTTTTGTGGTTTGCTGTGATGTGACAGACGAATATGATCCATCTAGCTAAAGGTGATGTCTAATGACTAGGGTTCGGATGTTCATGACCTAAAAAAGAAGAGAAATATGCAAGCAAATATCCCCCCCCCCCAAATAGGGAAATATGACCCAAAAAGGCAAAATATGACCTAATTTTTTATGAAAAAATATTCGCTAAATTAAAAAAAAAAGCATTTTGTATTTAAATCAAGTTATTTATTTACATATGCATGTACAACTATTACATTGCTTGATTTCATAGCAATTTTAATCAAAAACCTCAATCGCTTTAAGTTGTAAATGCCTCGTTTTGGATCAGCATCAAATGTTGAAAATACGTGCTTCCTATAAAAGAAAAGAAATTTAAAAGAGCCTTTCTTGCATATCAAACTCATTAATTACATATAAATAAATAAACAAAATTAAAAATATTACGTACATTTCTTCATTTTTCTTTCTTGGCAGCATTACAATATATAACGATGTGCATTTTCAAGGTCTCGAATGCAAATCTTCTTAGATTGTCGCAGAAGCTCCTTTTGACATCACAAACTTTTCATGGCATTATCGAAAAGTACAGCTATAGAGGAATGGTTTACTGTATCAAGAAGGAATGTCACCGGGACGGTCAGCAAAGAGCGTGCCAATAACGACATTCGCTACATATCTACCGCAGACATCCGTTGTTTCATCAGTCGAAACACAACTCTTATTGTCGTCCACAGTAAATGTAATTATTTTTAGAACATCTTCATAACAGGCACGTGCATAGTTTTTTCGCAGTGTTGATTCGTCTGGAATTAACTGAGTCGTGTATTTCTCCAAGAAAGCTTTAAACTGCTCATTGTTCACTTTGTTCAGTTGGCAGACAACATCATTTCACACAGGTCCTTTGAAAATTCCGATGTTTTGTTTGATGGCGAATTTGTTAACTAACAAAAGTCGTTGCTTGCTTTGATGACTGGTTTGTCGGCTGAAATTATTTTTATGTTTTGCCGTATCACAATGTTGTCGCAAATGAAGTCGCTTACCAGCTGTAACTTTAACTTCGCAAAGTTTACAGAACAGAATTTTTCCATCAGAACTAAAATATTCCTCTCCAAAATCTCTTAACTTCGCACTTTCAGAACACTACACTTTCGGCATCCTAACTGAAGGATTCACTTTAAATGCCTGAGAAATGTAGTTACAAGTAAGAATTTTATACCCAAAATATAACCAAAATATGCATTTAACTACAAATATGACCAAAAACACAAAAGTCACCTAAATACGCATTTATATGCCAAATAAATACAGTCCAATTGTGATTAGAATAACCCATTTAGTGTTTAATTTCAGTTTAGAATGAAAATAGAAGCTTCAATAAAAATATGACATGTCATGAACATCCGAACCCTACTAATTACTTTTATGTTAGCGTTGATGAAATCCAAAGTGCCATACTATTAAATATCTTGTTTTATTCAGACACTCCGCGGTAGTCACAAGTGACTCACGATAAAATGACTGAAAAATGAATGGCTAAGTTTTAATTCCAGATGTGAGCTATGAAATATCCCTTCACTACCACCTCACGCTTAACAACTATGGTATTCTCCAGTATCCCTGACAGCGGATACTAGAGATTCTTTCCTCTGAGCTGATTCTCCGATCGCAAGTTCCAGAGTGCACGCTTTCATTGCGTGATTCTGAGGCACATCCTAGTGATAATTATCGGGCGATCCCATAGCTGCCCGTGTCATTACACTTACTGACGAGCAAAAGGTACATACAGTATATTATTTGTTCCGCAACATGCAAGCAGTCGGTATTCAGTGCCTGTACCAGAACAACAAAATTGGGTTACAAGCTTGGCTGTACTCGGAGTAAGG